GAGGCCGAGCGTGGGAGGAAGCGCCGGGATCGACAGTCCCAAATCCAAGACATCGTAGGTCTTCGGGGCTCGGCGGTCGAAGACCGACGTCGGCGCGTCCCCGGGTGCGCTCTGAACAGAAGTCCGAGGTGGACCCAGCCGTCTCGACGAGGCCGCCCTTGGAGGCACAAGACCGTCCCAAACTCGATCCGCCGTCATCGTCGTCGTCGTCGTCGTCGTCGTCGTCGTCGTCGTCTTCGGTACGTTAGGGGTCAGGGGGATGTTCTGGACTGCTCGTGGCAGGCGGCATGGGCGTGCCCAGGCCGATGGGGGGCTTCGGGATGCCCGCCGCGGGCATGCCGCCGATGGGGGTGGGCCTGGCCCCGTCCGGGGGCGGCAAGTCAGCCGTGGAGCAGCACGGGCGCATCTGGCTCGGGGTCGGACGAAGGGGGAGGGGAATATTCTGCCACGCGCACAAGGGGGCGGAGGGAGGGGGAGGGCTTCTTAGAAGCACCCCTGCTTCTTAGAAGACGCGGGCCTTATGTATAGATGTAAGGCCGGCGCCTTCTAAGAAGCAGCCTCCTTCTAAGAAGCCCTCCCCCCTCCCTCCACCCCCCTGTGCGCGCCGCCGAAATATGGGGCAAGGGGGGGTTATGGCATCTGGTGCATCCAGCTGGTTTCGACCTGGCCGCCAGGGGCTTTGCTCGATACACTGTCGCCTCCACAGCCGTGAGGTGCTAGGAAAACCAGCTGCGTCAGCTGATTCGCCCCCCCCCTTTACAAGCCCCCCGTGGTCCGAACCGACTGACCCCACTCTCCAGGGTCCACTTCGACCTGATTGATCCGATTCGATGTCCATCTGGTCTGTTCGATCCGATTCGCGTGACGTCGTTGCGCATCCTGGCGCTGCCCATCCGATCGGGTCCTCCGTGCCGATGCGGCCCAGCTCGACGCACGTTCCGGTGCGAGCCGACTTCTCTATCCGACGCTGCCGCCGATCCCCTTCCTCTCCCGCCCCCCCCCCGCCTCGCGCCCCCCCTCTGCCACGGGGGGCTGGGCCAGACGTGCCCCGTGCTGTTCCCCGCCAGCGCCCCCCGGCTCCTGGAAGTGCATCGAGTGCGGGAACGTGAATTTCCCGACGCGCGCCAGCGCGGGAGGCCCTCGCCGCACTCGCCGCCCGCCCGCCCCTCCCTGCCCGCCGGTGCCAGACCGGATGGGCATGTGGGGCGCTCTTTCGGCCCTCCTCGGCGCTCGGCGCTCCTCCCTTCCTCTTCCTTTCCTCCCCCTCCTCCCCCTCCTCCTCCTCCTCCTCCTCCTCCTCCTCTTCCTCCTCCTCCTCCTCCTCCTCCGACTCCGACTCCTCCTCTTCCTCCTCTCCCTCTTCCTTCGTTTCCTACCCCCTACTCCTCCTTCCTCCTACTCCCTCCTCCTCCTCCTCCTCCTCCGCCTCCGCCGCCTCCTTCTAGAGAATCACCAGGACTTCGGGAACACCCTCAGAAACAAAAAACCCAAACGACCAACGAATCTGAAGTGCTCGAGGCTGAACCTCTAGGACAACCATTGGACAACACCAGACAAACCAACAAAAGCAAAAGATCCCAGGGACAATCGTCCGAAGGGAAGAGTCCGAAGGGGGAGGTGGGGGGCATTCTTCGTGGAAGTTGTTTTTCCCAACCCTCCCTTGGCTGGGTTCTCGTTTTGAATAGAGCAGTGTGGTCTTCATCTCCCCCTCCTCGCCCCCCCCCCCGCTCTCCTCTCGGCTCCCTCCTCTCGCATCCCTCATGGGGGCCGTGAAGCGTGAAACTGTCGCCATTTTCGAGGGCTGCTGGGGGGGCATCATAGTGTGTGCCGACGGCAGATTCAAGTTTGACCTCGACATCCCTGGGGGGCTGCGAAGTGCGAGGCGGTCGCCACTTTCGAGGGCTGCGGGGGGAGGAGGACAGGGGCAGCGTAGTGAGTGCCGACGGCCGATTCTCATCAGACCTCGACACCCCTTGAGGGGGGGCTGCGGTCTGCGAAACTGTCGCTGCTTTCGAGGGCTGCTGGGGGGCCATCATAGTTGGTGCCGACGGCAGATTCAAAAGACTTCGACACTCCTGGGGGGGGAAGGGGGCTGCGATCTGCGAGACCGTCGCTGCTTTCGAGGGCTGCCGGGGGGGGGGGGGGCAGCATTGTGGGTGCCGACGGCAGATTCAAGTCAGACCTCCCTGGGGGGGAGGGGGGCTGCGATCTGCGAAACTGTCGCCACTTTCGAGGGCTGCCGGGGGGGAAACAGCACGGTGGGTGTCGACGGCCCCTTTGTCTCCTCTTGCTTCTCCTTCCCGGTGCAATGCCTCCTGGCCTTCTGTACCCCTGTTCTGCGGGTCGGCCACGCGCACTTCGCACGATATAGAGCTCCCCCGTGCAGCTGTCTCTTGCAGTGTTGCTGTCACGCTATTATCGGCACGTCTCATAGTTTCCCTGGGTGCCGATGTGTTGGATACGTCGCAGGGTCACTTGGTTGGTTAGTTCCAAAGGTCTTCCTATAGTTCCAGCCTCCAGCACTTCAGTTTCTGTTGAATGTGTGTGTGTGTGTGTTTGTTGTATTGAGGGGTTCTCTGGTACTCCTCTAGGGAGGAGGAGGAAGGAGGCGAGAGGAAACCAACGAGGAGGAGGAGGATGAGCAGGAGGAGGAGGAGGAGGAGGAGGAGGAGGAGGAGGAGGAGCAGGAGGAGGAGGAGGCGAAAGAGAAGGATGAGGAGGAGGAAGAGAAGAGGATGCGGAGGAGGATGAGGAAGAGGAGCAGGAGGAGGGATAAGCGCCGAGCACCGAAGATGGCCGATAGTGCCACAGAGAACGTGCACCCGCCATTCGGACGTTTTACAGTGGACGGCCTTCCCTGTTTGTTATCAATGGTTCTCCTACAGCTTCTTCGGTTTCTTTGGTTATTCCTGGTGTTTTTTGGTCTCCCACCGCCAACATGATGAATGCAGGTGCACTTCACCCATAAAGCGGAATCGTTTGTCCCCCCACGCAGACATATTCAGAGACGGCGGAGAAGGAGAATGATGAGGAGAAGGGGGGTGAGGAAGATGGTAAGGAAGAGGATGATGAGGCAGAGGATGAGGAGGAGAAGGAGGAGGAGAAGGAGGAGGAGGAGGAGAGGAGGAGGAGGAGGAGGAGGAGGAGGAGGAGGAGGGAGGAGGAGGAGGAGGAGGAGGAGGAGGAGGAGGAGGAGGAGAGAGGAGGAGGAGGAGGAGGAGGAGTAGGAAGGGACGTGGAGACGAGCAAGAGAACGGAGGATTGATACGGAAAGCGCGCCAGTGGGTGGCGCTGGATACACTAAATGGGGGGTGTGCTCGCAGAGCAACGCCCCCCCCTCTCCCCCTTCAAAGGGGGGGTGAAATTTTCGACCCCCCCCCCCTCCCCCCCAAGGGGGGGTTCTGGACCCGCCCCCTCCCCCCCTTGTCGCTGGAAAGGGGGGGGGTCGAACCCCACCCCCCCTTCCCCCCTTTGGGGAGGGGGCCCCTCGGGTCGTGAGTAGAGAGTAGAATGTTTTGAATAGCGATTGGTGAGTAATGGGTATTTGATAGTGAGTAGTGCGAGGTGAGTCGTGAGTGGTGAGTAGTGAGTAGTGGGTAATGGGTAGTGGTAGTAGTTAATGAGTAGCGCGTAGAGATTAGGCAGTAGTGAGTAGTGAGTAGTGGGTAGTGAGTAGTGGGAAGGAAGTAGTGCGTAAAGAACAGAATTGTGAGTAATGAGTAGTGAGGAGTGAGTAGTGTGTAATGAGTAGTGCATAGTGAGTAGTAAGCAGGAGTAGGGATGAGGAAGTAGACAGGAGCGAATAGCGCTGAGTGGGTAGTGATTAGTGAGTAGTGAGTTGTGCGCAGTGAGTACAGAGTAGTGAGTAGTGAGTGGGGAGTAGCGGGTAGCGAGTAGGGAGTAGGGAGTAAGGAGTAGCGAGTAGTGAGTAGTGAGTAGCGAGTAGGGCGATGTGAGTAGTGAGTAGTGAGGAGGGAGTAGTCAGGAGTCAGTAGTGCGTAGTGAGTAGGGAGTTGTGCGTAGCGAGTAGGGAGTAGCGAGTAGTGGGTAATGAGTAGTGAGTTGTGAGTAGTGAGTAGGGAATAGTGAGTCGTGAGTAGTGAGCAATAAGAAGCGAGAAATGGGTATTGAGTAGTCGGTAGTGAGTAGGGAGCAGCGAGTAGAAATTAGCGAGTAGTGAATCGTGAGTAGTTAATAGTGAGTAGTGAGTAGCGAGTTGCGACTGGTGACTAGTGAGTAGGGAGTAGGAGAGTGGTGAGTAGTGAGTAGCAAGTAGTGCGTAGTGGTAGTGAATATGTCCTATCGGGTAGCGAATAGCGGATAGTGAGTAGTGAGTTCTTGGCAGTGCGTAGTGAGTAGTGAATTGTGAGTTCTCGGTAGTAAATTGTGGATAGTGTTTAGTGGGTAGTGAGTAGTGCTTAGTGAGTAGTGAGTAGTGGGCAGTGTTTTAGTGAGTAGTGAGTATCGAGTACTGGGTAGTGAGTAGTGAGTAGTCAGTTGGGAGTTGTGAGTAGGGAGTCGGAAGTAGTGAGTAGTAAGTAGTGGGAGCGTAGTGAGTAGTGGGTAGGGAACAGTGCCTATTGGGTAGCGAGGAGGGCGTAGGGAGTAGCGAGTAGTGAGTAGTGAGTAGTGAGTACTGTGTAGGGAGTAGAGAGTAGCGAGTAGCGAGTAGTGGATAGTGAGCAGTGAGTTTTGGGCAGTGAGTAGTGAGCAGTGAAGTGTGAGTAGTGAGTAGTGGATAGTGGTTAGTGGGTCGTGAGTAGTGATTTGTGGTCAGCAAGTAGTGTCTAGTGTTTTGTGTTTTGAAAGTAGTGAGCATTGTGAAGTGGGTAGTGAGTAGTGAGTAGCTTGTAGTGAGTCGTGAGTAGTGGGCAGGAAGTAGGGAGTAGTGAGTAGTGCGTCGTGGGTAGTGCGTCGTGGGTAGTGAGTCGTGGGTAGTGAGTCGTGAGTAGTGAGTAGTGAGTAGCGAGTAGTGAATTGTGGGTAGCGAGTAGTGCGTACTGAGTAGTGAGTACTGTTTCGGGCTAGGGTTTGGCTTTGGGGTTAGGGTTTGGGGTTAGGGCAAGTGTCAGGATTAGTGTTCGGGGACGTAGGGGTCGGGTTCCGGAGACCGGGGGCGCCGTGGCGAAATGGGGGGAGGGGGGGGGCTTAAAATTGGCGGCCAAAGGAGGGGAGGGGGGGGTCGGACCCCCCCCCTTTTGAAAGGGGGGGAAGGGGGGGGATCCCCGACGACGGACTGGGAAAGGGGGGGAGGGTGGGGGGTTATCCCCGACGACGGATCGGGAAAGGGGGGGGGGCCCCGACGACGGATCGGGGAAAAGAACAGGGGAGGGGGGGTTCCCCCCCCCTTTGGGGTCATCCAGCGGCGCGCCCTCATTAATATGCACTCGGGAAGAGAGCGTTTCTGTCATGGAAACCCTTTTTGGAAAGCCGACGGCGCCTGTATACCCATCCAGTCTGGAGCTGGCCCGCCCTCTCCCGACGGGCTCTGCCCGCCTTTCCCTTGTGATTCGGGCTGGAAGAGGGGATCGGGACGGGGGGAGGTACGACACCAGCAGCGTGCAGCCAGTGGCGGCCTCGCCGCCGTGCGCTCTCCCCGTTGCACGGGTGCCTTTGGCGCTGGGGTTGCCAGGGACGAGCTGCGCGGGCTGATTCACTACCTCCCATTTGTCCCCCCCCCTCCCCCCCCTCCCCTCTCCTCATGGTCGACGAGATTTGTATTGTGTTTGCACATTCGCCGCCCCTTGACCATGCCCGTCCTCGGGCGGCGTCCTCGGGCGGCGGATGCTTCTGTGTGTGTGTGTGTGTGTGTGTGTGTGTGTGTGTGTGTGTTCGTGTTCGTGTTTGTGTTTGTGATTGTGTTTGTGCTTGTGTTCGTGTTCGTGTTTGTGTTTGTGTTTGTGTTTGTGTTTGTGTTTGTGTTTGTGTTTGTGTTTGTGTTTGTGTTCGTGTTTGTGTTTGTTTGTTTGTTTGTTTGTTTGTGTGTGTGTGTGTGTGTGTGGTGCGTGCGTGCGTGCGTGCGTGCGTGCGTGCGTGCGTGCGTGCGTGCGTGCGTGCGTGCGTGCGTGCGTGCGTGCGTGCGTGCGTGTGCGTGTGCGTGTGTGTGTGTGTGTGTGTGTGTGTGTGTGTGTGTGTGTGTGTGTGTTATGCCTTGGGAGAGGATTTAGCCTTACCATGGTCGCCTGGAGGGTTTCGCCAGGGATTGGCGAGAGGGTTGGCCGGGGGTTGGCCAGAGGGGTTGGCGGGGGGTTGGCCAGAGGGTTGGCCGGGGGTGGGCCTTGCCAGGGTTGGCCAGAGGGGTTGGCCGGGCGTTAGCCAGAGGGCTGGCCAGGCCCGTAAGGTGTGGTGAAGATCTCGTCGCTTCCTTTCCCCCCCTACCTGCCCTCCCCTCCCCGCCCCTGGCACGCGGGCGGCGGTGCGCGGCGAGGGGCCCCCCGCTCCCAGCTGCAACGGCCGCAACGGTCAGTGCGGGAAGCCGCGGGAGATGGTGGACGGCGGCCCCCCTGACCAGCCCTCGGTGGCGCGCAAGGGGGGGGGGGGGCGAGGGACCCACGTGAGGGTCGGGGGCGCCCAAGGGGGCGAAGACTGGGGACATCATGGTCGGGGCCATGAGATATCCCAGATTTCATGGCCGCATGCCCCCCCCCGTCCGCGCACATGCCTTGCGCCGTGATGCTCTAAGCCCTTCCCAGCCCCCGTCGGCGCATCCGAGAGGGGGATGAGGGCTATGGGGGTTCATTTCGATCTGGTCGACCCGATTCGTCATCGAGTTGGGCCAGTCCAGTCCGATCATATTTTGATTTTCCGACGATCCGATCTGGCCCAATGCTCGCTTGGCATTGGTGTGCATCCTGGCACGATGCAGCCCGATTCGATGCATGTTCCAATCCGATCCGACTTCGCAGGCGATTCAATGTTGGCCTTCCCTGGCTTCCATGTGGAAAGCAGGGGGGATGATGAGGTGAGGACGCGGGGGGTAATGAGGTGGGGTGAGCAGAGGGTGCTGCCGCCCCGACTCCCTCCGCGGTGGTCGCCAGCGAGCGCTAGTCGTACGCGCCAGCGCGAGCGCCAGTTGTACGCGCCGGGGTCCCAGGATGCTGCAGCCCCCCCCCACCTGTGCGCACCGCCGACCAGCCGGCGTACATGTCGGCCCGCCCCCCGCCTGGCTTCGGCTTCCCCCTCACGGCGGCGGCCGGCTTCGGCCCCTCCGCGATGCTGGGCGGCGCGGCGGCGAGCCGCCCGGCGGCGCCGCCCCCGGAGGGCTCCTGGGTCTGCGCCGCCTGCCAGAACGTCAACTTCCCGACGCGCTCGACGTGCAACGCGCGCGCCTGCGGCCGCCCGCGCGCCGAGGTGGACGGCGGGCCGCCCCCGGCCGCCGGGGCGGCGGCGGCCGCGCCCGAGGGCTCGTGGACCTGCCCCAGCTGCGGGAACGTGAACTTCCCCACGAGGGCGGCCTGCAACCGGCGCGCATGCGGGCTGCCGCGGCCCGCGGGCGTGTAGCCCGAGGGGGCGGCCCCGCCTCGGGGCGGCGGGGAGCTGGCCGCCGGGGTGGTCCTGCAGCCAGCGGGCCCGCGCGGCTCGCCGCTCGCCCCGCCCCGCCCCGTCCCCGCCCCCGCCGTGGTCGGCCTCCTCCGCTGTCAGAGAGAGAGAGGGCGGAGGGCGACGAGGATCGGGTCGGACGACAAGGGGGGTCTCAGGGAAGGGTGGCGGTTTCGCGGAGTCTGCGGCGTCCAGCTGGCGTTGGCCCCGCCGCGGGGCGCTCTCCTCGGTGTGCGCGCGCCTCGGGCGTCAGCAGGCGCGGGGAAGACCCGCCGCACGAGCTGACTCGCTACGCTCCCCCGTGTGCGAAAGTGTTTTCGTCCGATGCAGGATGTGGCGGGGGAGGGGAGGGGGAGGGTCGGGGCGGAAAAGAGGGGGGGTGATGACTAGGGGGGGGTGGATATCATGGCGGGGGCCACGATATTTCCACAGATTTCATGGCTCCCCTTCTTATTTCATTACGTCCCCGGCCCCCCCGCTGGGCCGCGCACATGCCGCCGGTCATGATTTGCACCCCCCCCTCTTGGACACCCCCCTCTTTGCCGCCCCCGAGAGGGAGGGTGTGTGGAGGTGCGCCAGGAGGAGGTGGGTGAGGAGGCGCGGGAGTGGAAGGAGGAAGAGACTCCGCACGAGGAGGAGCAGGCCAGGCAGGCCCAGGAGGAAGACACGAATCGCTGCCGAGGATGCCAGGACGCTCTCGTGGTGTCGGGGAGCGCCCTGGAACGGCCGCGTTGCCCGACACGGCCTCCAGACCTGCCAGCTCTCGGAGATTTCCGATTCACCGTCATCCGACAATTTAGGAGGGGGCAAAAACACAGACAGAATGAATCGTCGATTCCCCAGAGAATATGGGAAATATGGGAAGTGGGGGGGGGGGAAGACGAACATCCAACAAATATTGACAAATATGGGGAATCCTGTTATTCGTGTGTATTTATTCGTGTGCCCCAGGGCCCCTTCAAGAATGTCCTCATCCTAGCTTCGCCTGAGCAGGGAGAGGATGTCGAGTATGCCTCCGGCGAAAGCAATCGGACTTAGCCTGCGCCCCAGGCTGAGCAGGCTAAGTCCGATGGTGTTCGTCAGAGGCCCACTCGATATAGCGCTTCGCCTTCGCTTGAGCAGGGAGAGGATGTCGAGTATATGCCTCCGGCGAATATCATCGGACTTAGCGAGCATGGTTCAGACTCGCAGCCACGCAGCACGCAGAGAGTGTGCGTGGCGTCGGCGGGTGTCGGCACGTAGAGGTGGCAAACGACCATTGTTTGAAGCATCCAGCGGTGTTCGCCGATGGCGTTAAGTCGGGCACGTCCCTCTACAGGAGGAATATTCAAAAATAGTGTCAAAACATAGTCTGGGGACGTTTTTTCAGTATTTTAAACCATTTTGGAGTATTTTTGGATTTTTCGTCCAAGGTCCCCCTGTAGGAGGACACGCCTGCCCTAACGATGGCGTAGAGTCTCTAGTCCAGATTCGGTAATAAAAGGGAGGGGGTCTGGACCCTCCAAGACAAGCCATTTCAGACCTCCCCCGTGGGAGAACCCTCCAAAACATCGTCCCCGGGCCCCCCAGGCGCTCCAAGATGGCCTGGAAGAGACCCCCCCCGAAATGAGACCCCCCTCCACTTATTGCGAAATCTGGAGCATCCGCCGCGAGCTTCGCGCTCTCCGTGTCTGCCCCCGCGAGCCAGCTCATCTCGGCCGTGCGATGCTCGCCCGCCGCCGGGCTCTCTCCCGGGACGCTCTGCGCGCGGGGAGCTCGGCTGCTATGATCGGACGTATGACGAAAAGAGGGGGTGCTCGCCGTCGCCATCCTTCAGAGCGTGCATTACCTGCCCCGCGTTCGCTTCCGGGCAAAACCAAGTCATACCACGCGCCTCCTCGCCAAGCGGCCTGACCAGTACAGGCCGTAGTTTGGTATCGCTTGGTATCTCTTGGAAGCGAGTGTGGTCAAAAGCGAGGTAGGTTTGTTTGGGCCCTAATTCTTCCCGCCATGAACAAGGGGACCTGAGGGAAACGGGTCCAGCGGTCGCCATCGCCATTCTTCAAGGGCATAAAAACAAACGCCCCTACCCTGGTTTACGAGGCGCTGTGCGCTGCAACTCCTGTGGGCTGACAGGGTAAACCCTGCGTGATGTGCCGCGTCCTGGCGGCTCTAGGCTTTGGGGGTTCCCAGGGAGGTTTACAGACCACGCACTTGTAACCCAGGGTAGGGTCGTTTTTTCATGCCTCAACTTCTTCTCGCCATGAACAAGGGGACCTGAGGGAAACGGGTCTGGCGGTCTTTGGCTGTTTTTGGGGCTCCCAAGGGCTCCCCGCGGGCCTCGAGCCCGTCGAAGGACGACTCCGGACGAGTATTTGGCCCCGGGAGGAAGCCCCCAGGATACGGTTCGTGCCCGCACCCTTCCAATCAGGAGGGAAAGAAACACACAGACACAAGTAATCGTCGACTCCCAGGAAAATACGGGAAAATATGGGAAGCGGGGGGGACGACGAAAAGTCAGAAAATGTGGGAACATATGGGGAATCCTGGAATTTGTGTGTATTTCTTCGTGTGTGTCCTGGGGCTCCTTTATCCAAGGCGATCAGCGAATCCGCTCGTGGGCCTCCACGCGGCCTCTCGAGAGGGTGACGCGGTCGCCGTTTCTGGCGGGCCTGGTGCCCGAGGAGCTCGGGCCCCAGACCGCTTCCAGGCAGGATGCTTTGCCAGAGTGGGCCCTGTCCATCCCCGATTCGACATCGCCATCCTTCTCACGCGGGCGACGAAAAAACGGGTCGACCGGTCGGATGCTGGCGCGCGAGCCGCCCACGTGAGGTCGCGCGTCAGCGCGTCAGCGGCCCACGTATTGTTCTCTCCTCCAGGCGGTGTCCTGCGAAAGCCTTCGTGTAAGGTCGCCGCGTCGTCGCACGTAAGACTCCGAAGCTTCAATCTCTAACATCGTGTAGTTTCATGCGGCCGTTTGTGGAGTGGTCTTCGTCTTCGTCGTCGCCGCCGCCGTAGTCGTCGCTGGTTCGCTCTCCACTGCCGCGGCCGTCGTCGTCATCGTCATCTTCGTCTGTGTCATTGTCGTCGTTGTCCATGGAGAGCCCATACAGGAGGCCCCGTCGGTTATCTGGACTGTTTGGTCCTCTGCCGCCAGTTCCCCTCATATTGCCAGCATGGCTGTCTTAGTTTGGTTGGTTGGTTGGTGTATCGGCTATTTGATTGGCAGGCTGGCATTTCGGCTAGTCAGCTGGCTGTTTGATTGGATTGTTGGCAGGTTAATTGTCTGGTTGGCTGGTTGGCTAGTCGGAAGGCTAGCTCTCTGGTTGGATAGATGGATGGCCGGTGGTGTTGTTGGCGGTCTCGTTAAGGAGAGACGGAGTCAGGGATGTGATTTACGAAGGCTCGTGGATGCAGTTTGTAAGACATTGTGGTTGTGCGAACGTGTTTTCTCAACTCTTACTGGTGTTTGCTGCTTCGGGACCGCCGATCATCTTGTTCTTCCGGGAATCGTGGCCTCGGGGGCGCGGGCCCATGGTCCTTTCCAGGAAGGATCGTGGCCTCGGCAGCGCCGATCCATATTTTTTGTTGGTAGGGTGTCGTCGCTTCTGGAGTGCGGACCCACCGCTTTGAAGGGGGGGCCGCGGCTCCAGGGTTGTGGATCAATAGTTTTGAGGATGGATCTTACCAGCCTCGGACGTATCCCTATCCCTAAGATTGACACGCCAAAAGGCGATGACAATCTTAGGGATCCGCCCTCAAAAAATAAGGAAATCCCTAAGATTGGCCACGTGATGAGGAGGTGCCCAGCATAGGGATAGGGATATGTTCCAGGCTGGTAAGGATCGTGTTTTGGGAGCGCTGGTCAATAGCTTTTTGCCAGGGATTGCGGCCTGGGGAGTGCAAGCCGCTTGTTCTTGAGAGGGCCAGTGGCCTGGGACACGCGGGTCCACAGCCTCTTTCAAGATGGATCGTGGCCTCGGGAGTGCGACTTCATTGTTTGAAATGAGGTTTCGTTGTCTCGCGAGTGCGGACCAGTCGTCCATAGGATTGTGGCCTCCCTAGCGCCGTCCACTCTTTTTTTTTTGCCCGGGGCCGTCGCTTCGGAAGCGCGGAGCAACAGCTCTCGCGAGGCATCTCTTCCCCAGGAGCACGGAGCTCTTCTTCTGTGGCGAGGGATCGCGGCATTTGGCCCCCAGGGTCCCGTCGTGGACTGCAGGAGTCTCCCCGTGGCTGCGCGGGGGGCCCGGGCTCTGGGCGAGAGTGCCGCGGTGCCACGGCCCCGCCGGGACCACGTCGTACAGGCAGAGGGGTCGGGACCTGCCCGCCTCCATCCACGGCGCCAGCAGTTCTTTGACGAGGGATCGTGGCCTCGGAAGCGCGGGCCACAGTTTTTTCTTCCTGTCGTGGCCTCCGGAACGGGTCGACTGCGATGTGTCTAGGGAGTGCAGATCCTGGGTCTTCTTTACGAGGGGAAGTGGTCTCGAGAGACTGCACATCTATGGTTTGTTTCATGAGCAATCGTTGCCTCTGGAACGCGGATCAACGTTTTTCCCCTAAACATGAGGGCGGATCAACTGAGGGCTTCTTATTCATATGCCGCTGAGGGATTCGATCTTTTTTCCATGTTGCCGCCCGTGGCGGCCTCGTGGTCCTATCGTTCTCTGGGTGGGTCGGGCGAAGTTTCGCCACGTTGCCGCCCGTGGCCGCCTCGTGCGCTGAGTTGGCCGGGCGATGTTTCGCCACGTTACCGCCCGTGGCCGCCTCGTGTGGGTCTGGCTACATTTCGACACGTTGCCGCCCAGTGCCGCCCTTTCGCCGCCTTGTTGCCGCCGCTAGCTTTAAGTCGGGCGTGTTCCCCTACAGGGGGATTTTCGACGAAAAATAAAACATACACCAAAAATAGCAAAATAATCGTCCAAACATAGTCTGGGGACTATTGTTTGAATATTTTTCGGCCTTTTTGGGGGCATTTTTGGGGT